CATGTTACTGGTAGTGCAAGGGCACGATGTTGTTGGTATCTTAGCGCTCAGTACCTATTAACGCCACTTACCTCATTAGCATAATTACGAAAAATATGAATTTGCTATTTAAAAACGGTTAGATCTCTGTACTTTGTCAGATCTTTAACCTTTTTCATTGCTACAATACTTGCTTGTGGGGAAATATTTAGATACATTATGTCATTAAAAGTGTTGCTGAGTCCATACCATTGTGCGCCTCTGAATGCGGAACTAAAATCAAAGAGAACAGAGAATATAAATTTGGCTCAGATGAGTGCTTTATGGATTTATAAGTAAATGCGTCTTCCTGACGCTTCATAAGGCGGGTTTTAACAATGATATAAGTATGTTAGATAAGAAATTAGGATTTGGAAATTTGTAACACTGCTTAAACGCTAGATCATTTTGTGATCTTCTGTCGCATTTCAGGTGGTTTCCGAGTCCATGTTCGGGTAACTTTGATGAACTTGAATTTTTTTAAAGCCGCGACTTCATTATATGTGCCGGTCCTGTGTATATACATTAATCCCTTTGCTCGTCTATATTCCTGCAAGGAGTAGTAGCCCAAGGAAACCTGTGCAGTCGATTTGCGCAATTTAAACTAAACAACACGCCTAATCTCATCACTTGAGAAAAGTACATTTGGCTTATTATTCCGATTATTTATCTGTACAGGCACGTAGACGGCGAACATGTGCCCATGTCCATGTGCCGTAGTCCTGGATGTTCTTCACCAAGTTCACAGGGCCTAACAGAGCTGACTTCGTTGCTGAGATCAAGGAGTTTGATTTGAACATTATCGTCACTATGAAAATTCATTTTAACTCTTCATTACACTGGTCAAAACTGTGATCTTTCTTGGTCATAATATTGACCCCATTGATGTGCCTGGACAGGTCTCAGAAAGGCTAAATATGTTTCCGGAGACGTTATCCATAAAACTGCAGAGTCTACCTGCGAGCATGACCAGATGTTTTCCCTCCCACAGATAAAGTTTTCTTGTCCGCACTCAATTTAGGCTCCAGTATATGAAGCCTGTATAATGGTGGTTAAATAGGGGCAAGAGGAAATAAAAGGAAGCTGTGCAGGGAACTAGCCATCGAAGTCTTGTGTGAATGAGCATGCAACATTTTTCGTCAACTTCCAGTGGGTGAATGGGCTCGGAGCGGTGTCAGAGACGACCCGCTTCTCCGACGTTTTTAAATTCATTAGGAATTTTTTAGGCTTTTTCTGACAACCTGAGCAAGCCTGTTCTTAAATTCAGTACGCCCACGTCTTGTAAAATTATAAACCTTGTTTCTTCCTTCTCTCATACTTGATAAAGTCGTCTAGTGTCTTTCTTTATCAGACTCTTTCCGTCCGATGAATCGGGCAGCTTTACCTTTTATTAAACGCATCCTCCTTAATAATCACAAAATTATTCTTAATGACCTAATGCACTTCCATTACAACGTTGACATCCGTATTTACGACAAATCAGTCAAGTTCCCTGACCATAACTATTAGCGTGCAACTACTCAGTCACTGTCGACTTCGAATATATTTATGTTTACGAAGGATTCTAGGGGTTTTGCTTGTGACACTACCTTGATTTCTCCCGCAAAAACCATAATACAAGCCCTCTGAAATTGGGGTGCTTATTATTGGTGGTCCTTCATCCTATTATTTTAAATTTCGCTTTGTTACGCTTCATTTCACCATGTTAGGCCATCTAGCTTATTGCATCGGAATTTTTGACCCTATTAAGAACCTGATACCAATATCGATCTTCGATTCTTAAATCTAAAGTATCCATTTTTCTTTTTCTATAAACGGGAATCATTTTAGGTAACATTTCCTTTCAGTTAAACAAATCCACAACTCAGTCGAAACTTGGCCATTTATGTGTCGGATGGAGCGTTGCGAAATACTATGTCCACTGTGTGCCTCACAGCATGGTCGATGCAAGACGATGATTTTCGCATATCAAAATTTGTGGCGATAGCAAATTTGAGCAGTATCAGCCGCACTCTTTTTCTCATCTATTACGACCTGATGGCAAGACACACTCGGGACGACCGGAAGCGGGCTCGTGTGCACTGTCTGACAGAGCTTAACAGCCCGTCTATGCGTGCCAAACACGACCCGACTTTGGCAATATTTGCAAGGTTATCACAGAACCAGGGAGCGGCTCGGAGCCCCTCTAAGTAGGATTCCCATATAGGCCAAACTCGTAGAAAGCCAATGGGACTGACTTTTAGTTTTGAGACGGACGGCGTAATCACGTCAATTCAGAGCCAACGAAGTCATAATTTTAGGGCCTCTTGATAATTTTAAAGCGCGTCAGCTTTCTTGGCGCGGAATGCACCAAAGTGCCATGAAGATGGGCTCCCAGGTGTCGCACTCACTCTCTCCCCCCTTCTGTCACGCGCCGTTCCGCTCTCCAGACTGGTCGACTATCGGATGTTGGGGCTGAGCGCAAGTGGTTGGCGCAGCGTAATACTGCGCCCAGGCGTACTGCCACACCGCCATGTGTGGCATTTGTTATGAGGTGCGTGTACTCTACGAGGCCTGGCTAAAGTGTGTTGTGCTCTTATCTGGCTCCCGTTTTGGTTCAGCACACATCACCTCTGGTCCGTTGTGGGACACGACCTTTTATAAACTCGTGGTATAAATAAGTGAATACAAATAAGTTGTTTTATGTAGCACTCATTTAGCCCGCTCGACGCATAAAACAGAACATGAGTGGTATTTTCCGTTAATAGTTAGTGCAAGAACTAATCGAAATACAGTATAAATGCCTCGATTCCCTATTCCACAGGTGTTCTACAAGAACGCTATTATTTGATAAAATATATTGTAAAATAGTGTTGCTGTTGCAAAACTTGGTATTATTTGAATCTGAATGAAACCGAGGTAACTGATAAAAACTATTTTCACGGAACTTCCGTCATTTGAGTCCACTATGCGCACAGCCGCGTTCCAGTTAATTCAGTAGAGGCCATATCATGCTCTTATTCCCCATACCGGTTCCCGGGCGAAAATGAAGATTTGGTCCCCAATTCCCTAGTCGTAATGCATAATGGCCAAATTCGTCACCTCCAACATGAATCGTCCCAGGTTCAGGCAATCCAAAATTGGGACTATTTTTGGTGGGGGCCCTAGTTTTCAGATGTCCATTTATCAATGAGTCCATCAACCTTCCTTATACTAGCAACGGCTTTCAAAATCAACTATGTGAAAGTCATAACAAGTTGACCAAAGAAAATTCAGAAAATTCGGTCGAGCACAACTTGACAACGGGCTCGTCCGATGAGGAGGTAGAAAACAATTCAGACTAAATAACTGCCATAGAGTTTCAGCCACTGTTTTCTGCCATGATAAGCGATGACGACGACACTGCTCGAACACGCCAGTGAACCATCAGATGGCCGAGCTCGTAAAGGAAATATATCGATGTGTCCGTTGTCCCCTAGCTTGACAGGCCGTTCGGAAATTCACTTGATTTTTTCGTGTCAAACGTTTGGCGCATGAACAGGCGACCAAGTTCCCCGAAACGTCAGCAATGTAATGGCTTTGTTTTGCCAGTGCATCTTTCGCAATCAACTTATCTTCCTGGAACTATCGGTTTTTCCAGCTTCATCATGGACGTTATTTCGCAAATACACACTGAGTGTGTGCAACTTAGGAAATTTTCAAATCTTGATTGCAAAATTAAGTCCTGCTTCAATAACTGCCGAGTTGTCTACATTTCCTTTCTCGTCCCATCTCCGACTCTCTTGACGTAACGCCTTATGTTTTTCTATCGTCAAAACTACTCCTAGCTACTTTAACTATTCTTTCCACAGGGCTCTACAAAACGGTTTAAATCTCCCACTGTAGTTCCGGTAAACAGTGATTTCTACATAAGTCAGGATTGATTTCTGCAGCCAATGCTTTCGATACTTACTCTGGACTGTTTATACTTAATGGCGCCTCCTTATTTGCAGAATTATCTGGTCGCTGGTCTCCGTCAAATCACGAATTGTCTAAAGTCGTTTAGGAACCAACTTGAGCTGTACTTAGTGTTTTCCAATTCAAATATTTCAAGATCTTGTGTGAAATGTTTACAAGTATCCGTGAACTTTCAGCTACATCGGTTGGTTTAGACCTACCTTCGACACTAAAGAACTTCACCCGCGAAGAATGAGACACGGGCACTGGAACAATAGCTTTATTAACTTCACCTATTTGCGATCATGGATAAATAAAAATTACTTGTAGGGTTAAAAGACGAGCTATTTATCGCAAACACATGTGCGCACGTTTGGAAGCACGCTCCTTAGTCCTTTCAAGTTTCAAGTCGAACAGCTCTCACTACTAATCTCATCAGCTTTTATTTATCATTAACATTAGGCATTTCCAAAAGCGTTGATTTTCACTGCTTCGGACACTTGATATTATCTGCTGCAGAGTAGAAACCATAGCAATTACTTCGTCATACTGCGCTGAACAAAGGCCCCAGACAACCAAACCACGCGTGTTGGCCTTGTAATTCAGTGATCAGAAAACATTATTAGCTCATACAGCTAATATAAACGTTCACGATAACTACGTCGGTGATGCACTTGCTGCGAAATCCGGGGTCGGTGGTTTAATCTACCCTGTCAACGCACCATCTTCTTGAATCATATGGCTTATGTGAAGTGCATTTTATAGTTTTGTGACAATTGTTGGTCGTATAATTTTTCCTACAAATTTATGCAATTTGTTAAAATGCTTCCGTTCACTTTTTTCATACTTTTTCGCTTTAAAGTCTTCATGTTTCCTACCTCATCGTTTTCGCATTCAGTCCGCGTTCGCTTGGTTGCGATCAAAACTCCAAGATGGAAAGTCTTCAGTAATTTTTGTTTTGGCTGGTCACTCTTCTCTATACCCACTTTTAAAGGCATTTCATTCATAGGACAAAAATGGCAGACACCTGTACTCATCCTTGTTCCCATCATGAGAAGTCGCAGCCAATGGAAGAACCGCCGGAGGTTTTTCTCATAAGAACAACGAGCGGACAGTTTAAATGGCCTCCGCTGAATGTCTACCAGAGCTTTGAGGATGACTGCAGAGAATTTAACGTGATAGGGCTAGAAGGTCAGTTATCTGCTGGGGTCGTCAACGAGAATCTTGAATATGTTCTTGCGAAACGAGTGCATGACCATGACCAGGACGCGTTCCAGTTGGGACAGATAATGTTTGAAAAGGTAAAGTTCCGTTTCTGTTGACCAGATATTCCAGCACAACTACAAAAGGGCCTTTGAATATTTCAAAATTGCTGCCGACAAGTACCGCGATCCGCGGGCACGATATCAGATTGCAGTAATGATTTTTGACAACCTAATGGACAAATCTGATCGCGTAGTCTATACGAATCCAGAGGTAAGTTTGATAGACGGTTGATTTGCCCTAAGGTCACCGCTGTTAACATGATGGAGGGACTACTATCTTTGGACATTGGACCAAACTCGGAAGTCGGGAACGAAGAGATTGTAAATTCGGCGGCTTACAACCTTTACCTTGCTTATCTTCATGGCTGGGGCGTTCGGCAGTCTGACGAAACTGCTTTGAAGTATGCTGTTTTAAAACTTAGCAGTCAATTTTGACAGAAGTACTCTTGTTTTTGACTTACATGAACATATTAAGTTCATCTTTAAAACTAGTTTGCTATCTCACGCGAAGATATTCTGTGCATAGTAAAATCTCACTATGGGCCTGAGGCGTGTCTAGAAAGTCTGGGGTTCCCAGATCGTGTTTTCTGCCAGTCAACAACGAAAATTAGGCTCCTGCTAAGGCATCAGAACCTTCTGCCAGTGAACTTGATGCCAAATATTCGAACAAGCACTCATCGGCAGGGAAGGAGTTTGTACTGCCTGGTAAACGTCAACTCTCTGAAAGATCTTGGCCCACAGGCATTGTTATTGGATATCCTCCCTAACCAGAATACTGACATTCCTTGTGTGTCCAGTATTTGCTTAAATTCATTCAGGATGAGAATAGCAAAAGTAACAGGACATGACAACTTCTATAAAAATGGAGTTTCATCCATGTTAGGCCGGAGATCGAGGTAGTTCCTTATAGCGTGGGAACATATTTCTCCCCGTATCGACTGCATAAATCTAAAGGTATGATTTCCGTTCGTATTATACGACAGTTTGACCGTCGCGACCGACTATATCTACAGTGGTCTCCACAGCAGGCTGAAGCAGGCCCGGTGACTTGTGCGCAAATTGTTTTATGGTGCGAGTGCGCTTGCGCTGCGCCCACCGCACTCTCTCCTCTCCACCTGAGTCCGGTGTCAACTCATAACCAAGAAGAGCATAGGCGGGAGGGGGCGCAGGTGGCTGGCACGGCGAAAACCCACACCTAGTCGTACGACCACACACCCTGGTCCACAACAAACACTTGACCAGGATTTTGACCAACCACAAAAGGGCGGCTGAGAAAGAGGAGAAGGACTGGTCAACCGTACTTACGAACTGTATACCCAGTGGGAGCACTAGTGCATCCACCGACAGGGGAGCAGGCGCCAGAGAACTTCCAGCGCGCACAAGGCTGCTAAAGCCACGGTTTACTGTTCATGGCATAGTAAATGCTCACAAACCTTAGGACCCATGAGGATGAGAGGCAGCCCTGCATTCAGCCTTGGCCATCACCCTTAAAGGGTCGGGTCACCAGTCAGCCATCGACTGAGAGGCACAACCCACAAAGCACATACTCACTCCTCACATGTGTGAGAGTACCAGAGGTCGCGTTAAGAAGGAGCCGCTGCAGCCTGACTCTCAGCCCACCAGTCCGTCCCTCCACATAAATACACACGTCTGGGCAGACTGCGCGGACTGAGTTGAGCCGTCATTTGGCAGCCTTCCTAGCCACGGCGGCTGGCGCACCGTGATAGTTTCAGACTCGTACCACACATGCAGCAGGGGCGTCACATGGAGAGGGAGCCGAGAAGCACACTTTCCACTTGCGTGGTAGGTGGCAAGTGAGTTCCCGCGTTTTGTTTTCATGGGTGATGCTGTTGTGTGGTGGAGGTGTTGGGGAGGAATTATGTGAGAGTGTGGTGTAGCCGGTTTTCATGAATGCGCATGTGACCTAATATGCCTATGCAGTGACTGAATGTGCGGTGACGGTAAGGGTAGCTGAGGCGTATGGTGCAGGCACTGGTTCACCAGTCTCTGTGCGGTGGATTCGTAGGTGACCGACCAGACCGATGGGTGAGGCGAATTTGTGATCGTAATGAGGGCATGTATATTCCGAGTCCACATCGCTGGTGTTGGCAGTGGTGAGGTTGATTTTGACGGCGCGTCAGGATTGTGTGCAGTGGTGGCAGGGTCAGGAGCGGCCGCAGCAAATGTTGAAGATGTGGAGGATGACAGTGGGGGATCAGGATCGCGGTTAGGGTTGACTGTCGACGTGGGGTACGAGGCAGAGGTGGACGGCGAAACATCAGCTGGTGTCGCCCCGCTGTTTCAGTTGGTTCAGGAATGCCCAGTAAAACCGACTGGTGCCCAGAACGTCCGCTGCCATCGTGGGCAGGTCGAGTTCGGTTGAGCGTTGGCGTTGAAAGGTGGGGACAGTCGATTTTTGCGAACTTCGCGTTTGGCGTTGGCGGAGGTGACGCGATTGGCTTCGTAGATTGCTCCGCCTGTTTTCCCTGTCCTCCTTCAGACTGGTCATTCCCGGGTTTGATCTTCCCAGTTGGCCGGACTGATCTGCAGGTGCTTCAAAGGAGTCAGTGTAGTGTCCTCCTTGGCGGCGGGAACTCGTGGCGACATCTCCATAATAAAGTCGTTTTGGGTGGGCGCTCCAGCGCAGTTGCAGTTGTCTCAGTACAGCGTGGTTGCTGAGGCTTCCTGTCCGTCCTCATACGTTCGTTTCTGGGATCCGATCCTGCCACCTCGGCTTCACTATTCAACGAAGACAGCCAATGTAGAAGTGGTTTAGTCTGCGTGCCTGCTTCATGTACACCGTTCGGGCATCTGCTCCGTACAGCAACGTCGGTAGGATGACGGGCTTGCACATCTTCAGTTTCGTGCTGGGTTGAAGACCGTGACAATTTCAAACTGTTATTAAGACGGCAGAAGGCTTGGCTTTCTTTGGAAACGCGGCGGGCAACTTCATCGTCGATTTTGTTGCTGCGAGAGAGGGTGCTGCCCAAACAGGTGAAGATGTCCACGGCCTGCAGCTAGGCACCGTTTACGGTGTTTCGGGGTGCATCGTAGTCAGCGTTCTGTGGCGGTTGGCGCATATCTACCGTTTTTCCCGTGTTGCTAACCAGGCCGAATTTGTCGCAAGCGATAGCGAAAAAGTCCATGCTCCTTTGCATGTCGCCTTCTGTAGTTGCGTTGAGAGCGCAGTCACCGGCGAACAGAAGTTCATGGATGGTAATTGTTGTTTGCATCCCCACATCAAATGCTGATGCTGATTACGAAGACAACCGCTTTATCTCCCTTTGAGGTTTTACAGAAAACTGAACTGCGTAACAGCGAGGTCATAGCACCAGCTTGAAATACAAGTTCGCCAACCACACTCGATGGGACAATGGCAGCCAACTTCTAGGTCTCGCCAAGAGCAGTGACCTATTTTTAACATTCGAAAGTAACCTTCTGACTTTTGTTTCGACTAAAGAAGGCTCCACGGTACATGTGAAGAAGCCCTGAGAAAGTGCAGTCTTTGGTTTTTGCTAACGGACTGAGCTTAAAGTCGGCATCCAGAATACCTCCGATTATCCCCACCCAACAGGACGGCCTTGCACCCGTCTATACTACCCAGCATTCATAAATTTTGCAGGAGTGTAGTGGTCAATAGTTTTCGCTAGATTTTCCCCAGCACTCTTGACCGACTTTAAGATAATGGCAATCATGTACCTTTGTGGATAAAAACGAATCCTCTTTGGGAAGACCACTACTGGGCTATCATCCACCCCTCTAGGTCACAGTAGGTGTTAATCAAAGACTGAATATCGTCCAGCATCACTTCATCTGATGATGGTGATGATGATGATGTGTGTGAGAGGCGCGAGAGAGCATGTGAAGATACCGAGACACGTTCACAGCACCCCCGGACAATATATACCATGGGAGTCGATCTAGCTCTATAATAATAGAGCTTGGCAACGGGTTCGGAACTGGACTCAACCTCGGTGACGCAATGCGCCTGTATCGGGTTCGTCAATCTTCGATGAGGGACCGTTCTGTGTTTGGCCGGTTTATCGATATCGCCATGAAGGTCTTTCAACCCATCTTCCTAAACTTTCTGAATCCTCCAGTGGCAAAATTTGCTGTTTTTTTCCAGTTGAGATTGCTTTCATCAAATATTTTCTCTGCATCAAATAGTATGAAAAGAGGACATCGTTTTCAATATATGATTGTTTATTTGAGTGCTTTTTATTGACAGCTGGACTTCGATTGCAACATTTTTCCTTGAAAGATCAGAGAGACGGATGACAATGACTCGAATGTCAGAGAATGGATCAAAAGCTGTTAGAAAAATGGGTCGAACAAAGATCTCAGCATAACGCAAAAACAGCGGGAACTTCCTCCTCCGTGCTGCTTTCGAACAAGACCGTTTCATCCCGGTCCTAGTAATGAGATAACCTCGTTTCTGTCCAAAGCTCTTCGCTGCTCTGAAGACATAAATGCATTCCAGCACCTCCATTCTCGTTGAAATAGGGTTGTTTAGGAACTCCTTTGGAGAACCGGAAGTCACTAGTACCACAATGCACGCTCCTCAACATAGATATTGGGTAGCCAGAGGCGATTGGCTACTTGTTTTATCTCGCTTGTCCTCCGTTTTAGACAAGCCGGGTGAGAATACACCTGTTGCCCACCACACAGAGTGTTCTATCTGTTCCCTAATCGCCCGCGGTCTCCACAAGTAGTAATTTGAAGGTGAAACGCGTTTTGCCTATTATTTTGTGGCTAAGGCAGTTTTACTATGTGGTTGTGATTCTTTACCTCTATGCTATGCTTATCGGAGAATGACAGAGATCTGGGACCCCAAGAGGATACTGCGACTTCAACTCACAGCCCGTGTTTCGAACCTGAAACCCTGACGCTGCAGAGAGACACCTCCTGGAGATACAGTAGCATGTCATGGTCTCGAGACGGTCCGGTTGTAAACTCCGTCGATTTAACTAATGGCTCCAGGTGGCGTGATCTCTCCTATTCCGTTCCCAAATTTCCATCGTCACCTCATTGACTGAGTAAATATGCGGGCCGGTTAGGAAGGCTGACCCGGTAGGAGGTGGAAGGTGAACTAGATAACGATTGCAAGCACCCTAGGCCGCATGGTTGGCATGGCGTAGCTGTCAATTTTGCGTGTTGTAAGGCTCTCTGACTTCAGTACTGTTGGCAGCCATTGCGATCACAAGTATGAGAACAGTTTTTTTTAAAAATATCGGGAAGCAGCTGTCTTATGAATAACAGGGGAGATTTGCGATCATGCGCGCATGGAACGCTTACAAATCATGTAGTGTCTTCATCACAAAGTCTCTTCGCTCATTTAAGCTTGGACCCCTTTTTACTCCCTACGGCGGACCCCACCAAAAGTAGGAAGTTCGCAATTTAACCGTGAAACTCAGATGAAGCGTCTTATTATTCCCCGGTTACGGAAACATGCGCAGTCGTAATACCTCTTCCCTCTCCTCTATACTAGTCGCTGCATGAGATTCCCATTTGCCGCTTCAGCACCTTTCCTACCATTGGCACTATGAACAAATTGCCTCTGTCCGTTATTCTTTTGTCTCTGACTATCTTTTTCTTTCGTTAACTGATTTATTCGGCACTCCATGGAACTCTTTAATGCTGCTTTAATGCCTGTTTTCAGTTTTCATTATTGCATTATAGGTTCTTACTGAAGGCTGCCGGTACAGGAGCAACCAGAATAGCAGTTCTCGCTCAGACAACACTCGGGTATTTCTACTCGTCTCCAGATCACCTCGACTTGGGACGTGCATTCTACTGGCACAATGAAGCCTGTGGTTTTGGTAGCATTGAATCGCAGGGTAAACTAACTCCCTATCCTATTTGAGGGGTTTTTTTATCCCGTCCCGCTCAGTCTCTTGTAGGCAACGTACGAAGACTGTAAAGGTGAACCATCTGATAGACCCATGGGTAAAGAGTGGAAACTCTCACACGGGCAACCTTTCTGCGGGCTTTGGTTGTGCAAATTATACCTTTAATGATCTGTCCCAAGTGGGTTTTTTGTTAAAATCAAGCTGTTGATGGGAGTTGTCGATGCAGTGCGAGAACATTCGGGTCACCTCGATCAAAGACGGTTGATAACTGGGTAGAAGCATGCTGCTCAATGTCTTGCTCTCTGGGTTTAACATTGTGAGACCATGGTCTTGGAGTATTTCAGAAGCCGTCTCGTGATTTTAAAAATGAATCTCGTCTACACTGTCCGGTAAGACGTAATACCTGGACAGAGTTTAGTTGAATTTTCTGAACCCTTTTTTATACTTTCAATGGCAGTCCCAGCCTATCATACTGTCAGCAGTTTTGTGTGTACGTCAAATCCGCCCTACCCAGGCAGCGGTCCACATTGCTTCCGATGAGTAAACTGTCCTGTATCCAATAATTTGCATTCACGTCCCCTCTTGAACTTGTCCGCGCTACTAGACATTTCGTGCACACTCGAGGCATTCTCAGTTGGCGTGAGGATTATGGGCATTTCGAAATTTAAAAAGACGAAATTGACATCAGTAACATTCATCGAGCTCACTGTGGTGTTTGTGTCCCATCGTTATGAACACTTCCTTTAAACGTCACGTTTTCAATCATGGCTTAATCTGGTACTTACGAGTTCAGTTGTTTTGGACAAGCGGATATTTTAACTCAGTTATTTCCAGTAAAGTTGCCGATGCGATGATTAACCTTACTGTGTCCCATATCCATAGGAAATATCGTACTAGCAAAATAAGTAAGTTTGCTTGGTGACGTTCACTTTATCTGGATGTAATAGAGTTAACTAGACTGATTCTGTGTTCTCCCAATGGGCTATTCATTTCAAATTTCGACACTGTTAGCCTGAAGCTTGAGAACGGATCTGTTTGCTTAGAGAAGGTCCAGTGTCATCGTCATCGGTGTGTCTATTGTGACGGCAGGAGTTGGAGGCTTGTGCGTCTTACTGCTATTACCCTTTAAGGATACATATGGCATATTATCTGCTTCTTCCATGCCTTATGTATGCCGGACGACGCAAGCCATGGTTCTTCCGGGCACTCATAACTGAACGGCCTGAAAGTAACCTAGTTACTTCCCACAAGTAGAAAGCCATCGCTAGTCTTGTCCGGTGTAGGCGTATCCTACAAAAATCCCATTCGTAAGTAAAGGAACGCTGATTTCTGTGTTAAGAATATCAGTACTATTACTTTTTCCATTTCCGCTTTATTTACTGAATCTCACTTGTCAATTACTATTCTTGATCGTCACTCCCGTATTTTGATTGAGTTGTACGGGACCGCTATAAGTAGGAATGTGTTGGAGTAACTGAGCCTTCCTGACCAGATCACTCCGTAAGTGTTCACGGGGCTTGAATTCTGGGTGCTGACACGGTATAGCGAATGACTGGATGCCACCCTCTATTTCAAATTCTTGGGCAAGGTTCGTTCGATCAGGCGAGACGCTGTTGTCTTAAAGGACCCTCTACGACATGTTAATGATTAATGTCTAAACCCTTCTTTCCCCGCCATCTTATGACCTTTGTAGCGTCTTGCTCTTCGCTCAGCATATGTGCGTTGGATTGCAATTTTCCCATATCGCTTGTTAATTCATGTCATTAGCAGATTAGTTGGTCCTAAATCCCTCCATTGACGTTATCCACCTTAGCATATGCCTGATCGGTATCAAGCTTAACTGGTCAGGATTATGTCGTTTAACTAGAGAATCCGCCAAGCATTTCACTACACTGTCCAGTGTAAATTTTATCTTAGAAGGGTAATGGGTTAAGAGGAATTTTTTAGATGCAAGTCGTGCCCTAGCCACGGAAGGTGTATGTCTTCTTGCGGTTTCTTGTGCAAATAATACGCATCATGAATTTCGTTCTTACTCTCACCCTTGCTCGATTTAATGGATGCTCCATAATGGTCACCGGTTCCAACACCAACTAGATAGCTGCTGTGCGTTTTCCTCCGGTTGCATGTAGTAGAATGTATTGCTTAAACCAAGGAGATACTGAGAGAAAGATGGGGCGTCTGGAGGTAGGCCATGGTCTTTTGGTGGTAGTAAATTAGCCGCAAACGGCCATTTCACTCTTGTTTTTCTCTAGTGACAATGGGTCTCGACAACAGAAAGGCATTTTTTCCGCTTTTGTCGCGGTACTCTACGTGGTCACAATTTCAGTGAGCATTTAATTTTCACGTCATTTACATTGGGAACCCGTTGTCTAAGTGCACAATAACAAGCGCTGATCAAGTGTAATGGTGACCCTTTGTACCAATAGCCAGGCTTCTACGTCGTTTCTTCTCAGTAGGAACTCTGGCACTGGGCCGTGTGTGGTGTACATGGCAGCACTGCGTTTTGTGGACTTTCTGCATTCTACTTGATATTACTTCTTTTCTTTGTCTTCTTCCATAACTCTGCACAAACCTGGAGAGAATGGCAAGTTACATTGTTCACTCTCGCAATCCTTAATTTTACCGGCAAATACTTTTGCCAGTTGTCTCACGACTGTCACCGCACGCATGTTCTTATTTGCAAACCGCCAGATAAAAACAACTCCTCATAAATGTTTTCCTTATTCTGAACTGTTCCTTTGCGCAGAAGTCTGTAGCCAAGCTTTGTTCCAGTTGCGTATTGCTGGACAGGATTAGATAAAACGCATTTGATCGCAACGACTTGGGCACTAGGAAGCCTAAGGGAGCCTGAGATGTCCGTGTCTTGCTTACGAGTCGTCACCAATCTGGATGCCCACACGCCCAAAGTCGAAACCGAGGCGGAACGCAGGGCATCCGCGTCTGTGGCTGTATTTATTTGAGATACCGACCTTGGCCTTTATCAGCTACTATTGGAAACGTGCGGGACCACGTGAGAGTGGCGTTTGCCGATTCAGAGTGGAGAGGACAGCTTCCGATAGTTGTTTGTCCGTCTCTGTACGGTGGTCTAAATTAGCTGTCGATGCAGAGCTCAAACACAAAACTAAGATGCCTATTTTTGTTGTGCAACTTAGACTAGGTCCGTGAAGGCTACTCCCAAGACTGGAGTTTTAGTTGTCTAGAAATGAGCCTTATTTTACATCTCACATTACTGTTTTTTACCTGAGGCAACCCAGTTTTTTTAAAGTAACCTTCAGCAGCCTTCGTTTGCAACAAATACTTCCAGATTTGATACCCAGCAGCTGAGTAGTTGTTTTTAATTTGACTTTCTGAAAGCTGTACTCGGTCTCATGTATATGTACGGGCTGCACGTTAAAGCTGACTGGTGTGCCGCGCTCAAATGTCTAAAGGAGTCTGCTGAACGCGGTAGCGTCTATGGCAAGGGAGTTCTATCACTCCTCTATTTCCAGCGAAAGATGTACTCATTGGCTGCACAGACCGCTTGCTCGTAAGTCCATCTTCATGCTTAATCCAATAAAGGTCAGTCTAACTTGCTCTAACCCATAAAGAGAAGTCCCTAATGCAGTTTCTATGACAACTATTTTTGATGCGAACTTCTAGACCACCTATGCTGAAGGTTAGTTCCCCGGCACGTGTCACTGGTATAAACAGACCTTATGCTGCGAAAGCCAGCTCCCCAATCGGCTTGAATCAGGCCAGTTAATGATAGACGGGAAAGTGGAGAGGGTAACAACCATTGCGCGCCGACCCAGCGCCTACTTTCTCAGCTATAACCAAAACATGCTTTTTTGATATGCAGCATACTCAACTTGGCCTGCAACGAGTCCCTCTCCTTTTCAAAGGAGGATTCGTGTGGACGATGAACTGGAATGTGTATGGCACGTAGTAGTTGGTTGTTTTGTCTCCTCACCTCAAATTTCTTCCCATCCGCCGGTTAAGTCCTATTGGAGAGCCAATACAGTCTGACCATCGTCCCCAGGGATGTAATTGTCTTGGCCGCCAACCTCCAAATCGCGCCTGTTAGGGAGTCATGACACCTTTCGACTTGTTTGGCCTTTAATTTTGAGATAATTGGGTGCTTGGCCGGTTTTCTCCCCCTTCTCCTGCCCATTTGCCGTTGGTCTGTATGAGTTAAGCCGTTCGTGATGGACATGATGCGCGGCGGCTGATGTGAAGGCCGACTTCTGATGTGAGCTACAGCACCATTATCAAGGAATTACAACTCTAAGCTAATTTATTCTTGAAGTTATAACCTATGGCTTTCCTTCGAAGATTTAGTTGAAATAGAATGAGCTACTGCACATGCCGGCAGTCCTAGAAACAACTAGTGAACCACACATTAGTGTTGGTGGTGGCAGACGATGACTGGTGTTAACTAAATTATCAGAACTAAGCACATGCCTCTAAGTATTTGCGGCTGCAATCTGCTATCAGCTTTCAAGGCTTTGAACGGCTGAACTTTGAGGGTATACCCGCTAGGTAGACGGCTCCCAGGGAAGATACCCCACATCTCAATTCGAACTTCCGATCTATAAAAATTATCAGGAACCCAAAATTGAACAAGTGCTATTTTCATCTTCAGTCTTGCCATGGACGCAGACCTTCGAGTTAAAATTATGCGCAAACCACACCTACAAATTTTCCCACGAAGAGGCGTGGCTATCGCCTGTTTCGTCTATGCCTGCTGTCTTGAACGTGGTTGGGGTGTTCAAGAGGACCAAGCTGTTGCTCGAGCCATGCATACACGTGTAAGTCGACTTTAGTTTCTCTCCTTAGTGCCCATAGTACCATGCATACCGGCCAGCATCTAGGATGCTGCAAACATTCCCCTACTATATGAGTGAAATTAGCAGCAGGGCAGGCCCAAGCCGAAGGTGCGCGTTCGGCAGTGGCGGCCCTCACAGCCCTCGGACAGCGCAAAAGGTGAAACTGTACGCTCCAATCCTGAGTGTCACATCGCGGGTGTTCACTCAGGAAATAAGAGGACACTCACGGTCCCGGTCGTAGCGCATAAGTAACAAAGTTCTCGACAGAGCATGGCGGGCATTCCACAGGGTCTCACCTGCTCTGCATAGCACTTCTACGCGTGCTATTACACACCTCCCCTCCAGCGTCTGACATATCGCAGTCTGTGCTGTTTCATCTTTGTCAGCAGCAACATTTTCCGACCCCAGAGGCAAAAAAATATGCGTGGCAGGCCCGCTGCACAAACCGAGTCGGCCCAATAAACTGTATGCCAATTCACTCAATCCGCTGACGTACTGTCCATCTGTAGTTTTTCTGACATTTTGCAATGAATTCGATCCCGAGTACAGCACACCACGATTCCGGTCAGTCTGCCCACGACCACGCGGATGTCCTGTATTAAGTCTGTCTGGGGAGTACCGTTATGCCTTTACCACATAATCAACACTCCAAAATGTGTCCCTGGAACTGAGCGCTGCAAAAGCGATGCGCAATTAGATGGCCTCATGCCGCACGAAATATCCCCCTTCGCTTGGCTGGCGACGCCCGAGACGGCAAGCCATTTTTGCTTGACTCGGCTTCCCCATGCCACGGACGATCAAATGTTAGGTAAAAGTGAATGTCTGCCTACAATCCTCTCACAGCATATTGTGCTATCTGTGAAAGTACTTGGACTCTCGCCGAGGCTTAGCAGACAAGAATGTGTGCGGTCATGCTCAAAAGTAGTCCATACTGGCTGCAAAACGGACTGGCAGAAATTCCCGGTACTTAACAACTGGCACCCTTGGGCAGTACTGATGGTTCAGTTATCGGATCATGTCCCGAATTCGAAAACCCTCTGGTATTTAAAAATAACCTCTACTAGTCATGCAAATGAAATTCGCCGTCCAGAGCAGTTTTGTCTGGCGTTCAGTTCACAGGAAGCGAAATTCGTGCAAAACTTCAGGAATAGGAAGCCCTGTTTGTACTGGCGTGGAGAATTTACTGACCAACCGGAAAACCTAATGGACGCTGTGATGTCGGGCATAGAGAGGCCACTGGGCCTGGTAGCCTTTGGCGTTCGAGAGTGGGACATCAAATGGACAACGATCTATAAAATGACTGCTGAGCGTGGCCACACCGATCCCCCATAGTCTAGAGCCTGTCAATCAGTACTATGGATAATGACCACAAATACGAGCACATTTTACATTGGTCGGTGGGGACTTTCAAGTCTCCCACTGAAAAATAAGTACACACAATATCTGCATCTGTATTCCGTTCGCGTGAAATTTCCGTACATTATCAGAGGAACGACACAGCGCATGATCGGTTTTCGCTGTCATCTGCTGTGAACAGACTTACAATGCATAAATGATTGCACTTTTTACCCTTTTAGTCATTCGAAATCGATTCTGAATTATGCTGTCGCTTTCAAAATATGATCATTCGAGAAGAAATCTAAGTTCCACAGGACCGAAAGGATTGAGAACAAGTGCGAAGGTTAAAGAGGTAACAGATATGTGCGCTGAATATGGGTAGAAACAATTTCATTGGTCGGCTCAACACAATGGTGTTGTGAAATATATCTATTGCTAATACTATAGTGTTTTCTTTTTCAAAACCGACTGAGTAAATATTTCCTAAAATGCCTTAGATTTGTCCATCCATCTCGGCCTTTCGACTTCTAGAAAACAGTAAGGCATTGTTCGGAAACTCTTCGTTGGGTAAACGTTACTTTTGGAATATGGCTAGGTGAGTGATAAAAAAATCTTACATACGGAAAATTTGAATAAGGAGTGGAAGAGAAACCTATCAAAAATTCAGCCGGAAAAAAACACGTAGGCAAAATGTATCAAAATCAGCTTGCTTCGAGTGACGACGCAATGCCGGGGTAGGAGTAGTAAGACTAGTAAAGAATGCATCTAGTTGAAACATCGAGAAGAAAACGGTGGCCGACTCCGTAGAAGCTCAAGAGGCGACTGTTCTGTACAGATGAACATATACACGGGAAATGCTCTAAAAATACCCCCTTTGCCTATTCCGGTTGCTTGTGCTGAAACGCTGTGTAGTTGTCATGCCGGAAGTCCGAATTAGGCAAGATCGGGAAGGACGGTTCTAAAAATACGACAAGCAGTAAAAGAAGACGTGTCACACTAAACACTGAGAAAGCACAACATAGGGTTTGCCCATGGACTTGGCATCCGAGTTCACCAATCGGGATTTATTTTCATGAGGCTGAGCCTCAGCATCCTGTTTGCAGAGCTCTTCCGATTTTTCCACTTCGACAGGAAAGGAATCAAAGAGTTTCATTGCACGACGCAGTAGGCTAGGAGACACAAGGCCATAGTCGACGAGGTTTGTGAGATGAAGCAACAGATTGTTGCGAAGGCCACGTTCGTGCAACCATCTGGCATGAACAGTGATGAAGGAGAGAACGAGGTTCGTCATCTGACCATCACAAACTACAGTGTTCACAGGCTTGATGGAAAGAAGGTGTACATTCCAGATTTGCATGATTTCCTTCTCGCCCTAAGAAAACAAGAGAAGAGACAAAGACAAACGGGGAAGTCTGTTTACGGCCAAATACCGTTACGTGTTCTTCAAGGCTGTCAAGAAAAAGTAAAACTGGTAAAATGTCTAGTGAAACCTGAAGGTGTCAGTCCATTAGCGAAAAAGGGAGATCCAAGTGAGCTTAATCTCTCAGACTGCTATATATGAACAAGGGGACAAGAAAAGCTCAACAAAACGTGCTAATGTCCCCCATCTCTGTTGCTGAGTAGGTTGAAGAAAAGGCTCCTCACCAAGGATGTGAAAAACAACGCGGAAAGTGCAAGCAAACACTCAGAGGTACTCTCTGTTTCCTCTATAACATCTGGCGCACTTTATGAAAATACTAAAACATATGAGCAAATGCCATTTGCATTCTGATTTTCTTAGGTGGGGTGGCCAACAAGCAGCGAAGTTTATGACGGAACGACTAGAGAACTCCCAAGGAGTAGTATGCTCAGGACTAGCACAGAATTATAAACAGCAAACATGGAAAGCACCTTGAGATAGGCGTCGAAATTTTATAAATTAAGTATAGTGGACTTCTTTCTAAGCCGAGTCGTCAGGGCCTTAGATGCTCTAAGCAAGGCAAAATGAAGAGACCGACAACCACAATTACTGAGAATTGGTAAAGTCCTGAGACTGTCAGAAGCAACTGGACAACGGAATATATCATCGTCCAAAAAAAACCTCAACGTAACCGGAAGACGAAATAGAGATCCCGATTAACTGGTGAGGACCAGCAATGCTTAAAAAACTCCTTGGTATATGCAGGCTGTCCTACTTCTGGCAGCACGACGATTTCCAGCAAAGACAGACCTTTATAGGATCTTTCAGGTAGGCCTCATCATAACTCTGTCCTATAAGAAATTGGTACAGGCATTTCACGCGAAAAACAGTGGGAAAAGTGACAGCACGTAAGACACTAGGTATACAAATGACGGCCGTCCCACGTCCAATCGGCAAACGGGTTGCATCAGAATCCATTTAGGTCAGATTCGGGTTGACTGAAATGAACGCCTTAAATTCGAACAGTGCCAGCTACACGTCACTCGGGACTCTGTTGCTAACACAGAGATGAAGGACGATTATTCGTAAGGTGGGTTTTCAAAACGTAACAGACTAAATCGGCCATGAGGAAAGTCGCTACAAGGGCGAGTAGGTCACAACGGCGTGACAAGTTGTGATATCCATGCACATGATTAGAAAAGAAGCGCCTGCATAAGAAAAAGCCCTTTTTAGCAAATAAATGATATCAATATGTCCAGTAGTAAATGCAAAAAGAAGACGAGAAGTTTGGATTTAAATCCCTTGCCCTTAGGTAACCGACTAGGAATCGACACTTTCAGCTATGATGTGGAATACTCATACTACCCGAAGTGACACTAACCGTTCCGTCTTCAGGCACAGCCAATAATCGGACCAAAGCAGCAAAATAAAGGTAAAATAGAGTTAGCTACAACGGCGTATTTCCGTATTACCAAGGGCTTTGAACAGATATCTGTTGGGAATTAATCAAAACAGTGAAGTCTGCAGGATGCCGTT